TGCTGCTGCTGCTGCTGTGCCTTCTGCTAGTAGTAGTAGAAGTTGTGCTGCAGCATGCAATGGCTTGCTGCTGCAGCAACAGCAACTTTTGCTGCCTTTGTTGGCTTAGCTTCTTGATAGAAATAATAAAACAAAAGGAAATTACAATTGTTGCTAGTACTAACTCCTTTTTTGTCGGCTTCTGCTGCTGCTGCTGCAGCTGCTGCTGCAGCTGCAGAGGTGCTGCTGCTGCGGTGACTGTGCAGCACCGCGGCCCTGTTAGACAAAACCCATTAAGGCAAGAATTCCCTTCTTACAATTACAAATCTAGGGTTTAAGGTTTAGGGTTTAGGGTTTAGGGTTTAGCAGCAGAAGTCCTGACGATCCCAACCAGTGGGGTCTCGATGCAGCCCCGCAGCAGCAGCAGCAACGGCAACTACAGCAGCAGCAGCAGCAGCAGAAACTGCAGAAACACCAGCAATAATACATCTCTTATTATAGTTTATTTTGTATTAAATGACAGTAAAACCCCAAAAATAAAAGAGGCAGAGGAATTCCTTTATCGCCTCTTGAGGGTTTAGGGTTTAGGGTTTAGGGTTTAGGGCTATTGCGGTGTACTGCTGCCTTCGCAGTAATTAGTGTTTTATTTCTTAATCTTGCTGCAGCAGCAAACCTCCATCTATTGGCGGATACACCTGGAGTGACTTATTTCCGCCCCTGCTGCTGCAGCAAGTAAGGGAGCAGCTGCTGCACCGCAGCAGCAGCCCCAGAAACAACAACAACAGCAGCAGCAGCAGCAGGAAATAACACACGTGCCCGATTGTCGGGGTTGTGTGCTGTTGCCAGTGCAGCAGCAGCAGCAACAACAACAGTAGCAGCAGCGGTGAAGCCTGTCTCCTTTGTACTACATTATAACCAGCAGCAACAACAACAACAATAACAGCAGCAGCAACAGCAGCAACAGCAGCAGCAGCAGCAGCAGCAGCAGCAGCAATGACAGGGGCTGCTCCTAAGGGCGGAGCAGCAAATGCTGCTCTTGTGTATATAGGTCATCATAATATAAGAGAGCGTCTTATCCTTTCTGTCTTATCTGGTAAGGAGATCTGGATAAAAAAGATACGTGAATCTCCTGCTGCTGCTGCTGCTGCAGCAGCAGCAGATAATGATGATGATGATGCAGCAGCAGGAATGCCAGGACTGCAGCAGCACGAAGCAAGTTTCATAAGATTATTATGCAAGATAACTGTGGGGTCTGAGGTGTACATACACCCCACGGGTACATCATTACGTTTTCGTCCTGGTTTGCTGCTGGGTGTAACTGCAACAGCAGCAACAACAGCTGTTGGCCAATCTGCTGCTGCTGCTGCTGCTGCTGCTGCTCCTATCTTGCATGTATGTCATGAAGGAAGAGGCATTAGTTACTACCTTGAGCCCCTGCTGCTGCTCTCCCCCTTCTGTAAGTACCGCATGTCTTTGCTGCTGCGGGGGGTAACAGATGCAGCACCAAGGGATGCTCCTGTTGATTTGCTGCGGCTGCAGCAGGTGCCGCTGTTGCAGCAGCTGCTGCACCAGGCGGGTGGTGAGGTTGCTGCAGCAGCAGCAGCAGCAGCAGCAGAAATCAAGATCTACTCACGAGGGTTCCCTGGCTGCCCGTGTGGCGTTGTAGGGTTTAAGGGACCGGGGGTAGCTAGGGGTGTGCTGCAGCCGTTGAATATGGTTGCTGCTGCTGCTGCTGCTGCTCCTGTTAAGCGTATAAGAGGAGTTGCATTTGCTGCTGGTGCTGCTGCTGCTGCTTTCCCTAGGAGAGCTGTTACTGCAGCAAGAAGCATACTAAATGAGCTGCTGCCTGATGTATGGGTGTATGTAGAGAATGCAACAGCAGCAGCACGAGGCAGCAGCAACAAATTAGCAGCAACTGCTGCTGCTGCTGCTGCTGCTGGGTCACCAGACCAGCATCAACACCAACTGCAGCAGCTGCTACAGCAGCAACGGCAGCAACTCAGCAACAGCAAACTTGCTGCTGTAGGTATCGTTCTTGTTGCAGAGAATATAAAGGGGGGTTGTCGTGCTGCAGGAGAAGCACTGATGTTAGATCCTCCTGTTGCTGCAGCAGCAGCAGCAGGTGATGCAGCAGCAGCAGCAGATGCAGCAGCAGTAGCTTCTCGTGCTACAGGCAACACCAAACTGCAGCATCTATTGAAGGCAGAAGCTGCCCTTAAGGGAGCAGCAAACAAAGAAGCAGCAGCAGAAGGAGCAGCAGCAAATAGCAGCCCTGAGGAGCAGCTAGGGATTCGTGTTGCGCGGTTGCTGCTGCTGCAGCTGCTGCTAGGAGGTGCTGTACCCCCAAGGGGACAAAAGATGGCGATCTTATTTGCTGCTCTTGCTGCTGATTATGCACCCTCTAAGGTACATACACCCGAAACCCTCACCTAGGGTTTAGGGTTTAGGGTTTAGGGTTTATGCAGGGTTTAACAGCTAGCGGTTAATCTCTTGGGTTCGCTATTAGGGTTTAGGGTTTAGGGTTTAGGGTTTAGGGTTTAGGGTTTGTGTGTGCAGGTGCTGCTATCTCGCCTTACTCCCTCTACTGTTTGTTTTTTGCGGTTAGTGCGTGACTTTTTTGGTGTAGCGTTTACCTTTGAGCAGCAGCAGCAGGAGCAGAAGCCACCTGCACCACCGCAGCAGCAGCAGCAGCAGCAGGAGTCCGATGACGAAGAGCAGCAAGAGGAGGAGGTCGAGCCTCTAGACCTCTCTTGGGCCCCACAAGTCTTACTTACTTGTGTTGGTGTTGCATACAAGAATATGAATCTTAGCAGCTTCTAGTTATTTCTTTATTTGCTGCTATTGCTGCACTTGCTGCTGCTGCTGCTGCTGCTGCTGCTGCTGCTAATGTTGCAGCAGCAGCAACAGCAGCAGCAGCTCGTCAGCTGCAGTAGCTGACGAGCTTTTATTCCCTTCAACTCTTCCCGTTACAAACTCTTCCTCTATACCGCTAGCTAGCTAGCTAGTCAGCTAGCCATATACATGGCTATCTATCAATCTAGTTAGCTAGCTAGGTGGCTAGCTAGCTAGCTAGCTAGCTAGCTAAATAGATAAGCCGTGGTTAGTGTTTGAGATGTTAGGGACAATTTGTTTGTTTAAAACTTTTTGTCCCTTTTGTCTCTTTTTGTCTCCTTTTTTGTCTTTTTTTGTCTCCTTTTTTGTCCCTTTTTGTCTCTTTTTGTCTCTTCTTTTGTCTTCCCCTCCTCCTCTTTCCCCCTCTCTGTCTCCCTCCTTAGTCTCTCTTCCTTTTCCTTTCTCTTTGTCTACTTGTCTGTCCCTTTGTCTCCTTTTTGTCTCCTTCCTTCTCTGTTCTCCTTTTATATACAATCTACTACTAATATATTATACTAATATTGCCTATTAATAATAATTAATAATAGTTAGTAATAATAATTAATAATTAATAATAATTATTATAATTATAATTAGTAACTAATAATAATAATAATAATAATAATAAACATACTTATAATGATTAACCGTCTCCTAACAAAAAACAAGCTTATAGCAGCAGAGTTGCTGCTGCTGCTGCTGCTGCTGCTGCAGCTGCTGCCGCTATTTTCTGCTGCATCTAGTGCAGCTGGACCTATGCTGCACCTGCTGCTGTTGGACGGTGGCAGCAGCAACACACCTGCTGCAACAGCAATTGCTGCTGCTGCTGCTGCTGCTGCTGCTCGACCTGTGCGTTGTGGCGCCGCCGGTGCGAAGATGCGCACACTTGCGGTGTATAGACACTTACGTCTAGGTAGCTAGCTAGCTTATTGTGTTTAGCTAGCTGTCTACGTAGTTAGCTAGTTCTCTAGCTAGATGTCTAGCTAGCTAGCTAGCTAGCCAGACTACCAGACAGAAGGACGCCTTGTTAGCTTCCCAAGCAGCTAGCAAAAAGCCAGCTAGCTAGCCACCTAACTAGCTAGCTAGCTAGCTAGCTAGCTAGCTGTATATATAGGTAGTTAGCTAGATATCTAACCTTCGCGGCGTACAAGGAATCGGTCAGCGCCGAACTTTGTGTTCCTCCAGTCCCACCTAAATACAAAACATAATGCAACAAGCTGCTGCTGCTGCTGCTGCTGCTGCTGCTGCTGCTGCTGCTGCTGCTAGCTCGCTAGACTGTTACCTATCCAGTTGATCCTTCTATATATATAAAGCGTAAACCCTAGCTATTGGATCCCGCTTGCAGGTCGTAGCTGCTGCCTGCTGCAGTATTAAGGTTTAGGGTTTAATTAGGGTTTAGGGTTTAGGGTTTAGGGTTTAGGGTAATATACCTGAGAATGGCTCTTTCCCCCTCATCTCTTCCTCCTCCAACTTGTAAGAATTGTGCATCTCTTCCGTCTGCCCCAACAACTACGAGGGCAGGAAGACCGGCACGGTGGCCCTCTCCTAATGATGGTACAGTAAACTCATCCCCAATCTGCAGAAGCAGAAGCAGCAACAGCAGCAGCAGCAGCAACAACAGCAACAGGAATAGCGTTGGTAGTTGGAGTGTAGTGAGCTGTATAGGAGGCAACACACTGCTGCACTATGCACACAAACGCCAGCACTAAATAGTTAGTTAGCTAGCTAGCTAGCTAAGTATCTAGCAAACTAACTAGCTAGCTAGTACACTCCAGTGCATACAGGCTAGCTGGACAGACGACCACCAACCTCCATATTCAAACTATTTATATCCAGTTAGCTATCCACAGCTATCCATAGCTAGCTAGGGATAGCTAGCTAGGGATGGCTAGCTAGGAATAACTAGCTAGGGATGGCTAGCTAGATTACTCACCCTGAAGTGTCTGAGTAGTATTGTCCTTAATGGATTATTAAAGTCAATAGATAACCATGGCATATGTTTACGATGATCTAAATAAGAAGATTCATCCTTATCAACAGATACAAAGATAACCTCTATCTTCTGGTAGGATCCTCCCTCATTTACTGTCCTATAGAACTAAGAGACAAAAAAAAAAAAGACAGGAAGAAGGATATATATATTATATATA